TGTCTGTGCAGGTGTGCTCTGTGATCGAGGTTTCCGAGGTCAGGCCACAGGCCACAGACACTTGCTATTCCCTCCTACATGAGCAGAATAGGCTTATCAAGGTAGATAATCTTGCATTTCACTTTCTGAAACTTGAAATCTCACCTATTACATCACTTTATTTATATATGGAGAAAAGCTGACCTGTCAAAATACTTTGACCTGTCCATGTGTGAGCAGCAAATTCCATTTGTGTCAGTGAACTTTTTCGAGGCGTATCCAACTGCTGGAAGAAAAATAAAATCAGGGACAAATTTCATTTTTTTCAAATGTTTTTCAAAGTTAAAGTTACAGTAAACAGAGAACCCACCCGGAACGTGTGGGTTGTGCTGGGCCTTGACAGCTGTTCCAGGGTAGCGGTTCTTTCTCGAAGACGTGATCGTTCTACACCATCAGGCACGGCACTCGACACACGGTTTTGTAGATGCCTTCCTCTGTACTAAATGAAGGATAATATGTTCTTGTTTAAAATAAATGCGATCCTTAAAAACACAAAAGAAGATTTCTACATGCTCAATCACTCACTCATTTATTTGGAAACTTTTAGTTAGACATTACTAAGGATCAGGTCTCCTAAGGATAAATACCTGAAGAAATATATTTTGATTATGTAACCACTATTAAACCTGATAAAATGATAGTGTCATAATAGCGAAAGAGAGATACAAAACCTTAATAGAAATGTAATTCTGCATTTGTAAAGTAGCAGGCTTTTTAATGTGATGTTTGCCTTTTTTTTTTTTCCTGAGACGGAGTCTCGCTCTGTCACCCAGGCTGGAGTGCAATGGCGTGATCTCGGCTCACTACAACCTCCGCTTCCCGGGTTCAAGCGATCCTCCTACCTCAGCCTCCTGAGTAGCTGGGATTACAGGCATGCGCCACCACGTCTGGGTAATTTTTTTGTATTTTTAGTAGAGATGAGGTTTCACTATGTTGGCCAGGCTGGTCTCGAACTCTCGCCCTCGTGATTCACCCACCTTGGCTTCCCAAAGTGCTGGGATTACAGGCGTGAGCCACTGTGTCCAGCCACCTTTTGTAAAATTATGTTATTCTAAGGTTAAACACGAACACTTTGCAACTCCTGCCTTCTGGGAGTGGGTTCCAGTGCTGGGCTCAAGGTGGCACAGGGCACACAGGAGGAAACCTCGCCCCAGGCAGGGTTTTCCTCTCATTATGTCTTTATGTTCCTACAACTGGGGTCCTTCTGTGTTGTATAAAATGAATAGAGACAAGTTACTTGTGTGAGAGTGGAGGGAGGGGTGGCTGTAAACCTGGGGGCTGCCTGGCTCTGCATATGGACGGCAGCACACTCCCCGAGGCCTGTGCGACTGCCTGGCTGAGGGGAGCTTCACTGCAGAAGGTATCACCCTCCACTGCAACAGACATGGCAGAGGTTAGCTGTAAAAATGAGACCTGATAAGAATACCACGGTCATCATTGACTGAGCTCATAATTTCACATCAGGAATTATTTAACACCTCTGAGTTCATTTGGTGCTTCTAACAATTCTTTAGAGGTAAGAATCATTAATCCCCTTTTATAGAGAACACTAAGGCTCAGGGAGATTAAAGTGACTTGTACCAAGTCATAGAAGAGAGTTTCTGTGGCAGGATCCACGTGGACCTGCCTGTCTCCTGACCAAATCTCATGCTCTCTTCTTTGCTCCACCATCCTGTCAGAGGTTTCCGTGACACCTGGAATTTCTGATTTAGTTCAAGACATGCTTCTATTTCACAAAACGGTGAATTAAGCCTCTCACTCCCTGTAAATTCTCACAAGCCATTCATCTACTTTCTGGAAACAGATTATGATGCCATTTGAATATAGCCACTCAGATCTTATGTTACTGGTTTCACTTGGAAGTGCCAAGGTTGTTTTTGTTTGTTTTCCAATATAGAACCTAAATGGTCCAGTGAAATACAATGAAATCTGTCTTACAGACACAAGGCGGCATCCAGGAACTGCCGTATTCTGCTCCCTGGTCTCCACGCCTATCGGGGGGAACCTGCTCCGTGATGTCTGAACCAGCGGCGAAACCATGTGGTCCACGCCAGTCGGCCTGCAACACAGCATCATGTCACTGAGCACCCAGGTACATGGATAACTGGCAAGTGACAGGAAATCTGCCAACAGCTGTGATGTTGATGCTTCTGTGCGATGGGCACACAAGAGGTCTTTCATTTCTGGTATTTGTGGTATTACCCTGGTGCTCCCCAGGGAACTTATAGCACTCTGATAACTGGGGGAAAATGTTATCTCGATACAAGTGGAAGACAGAGGATGGAGGGGAGAAGACGCAGAGCTGGTGTGTTTGGGGGTCAGAGGGAAAGTGAGGCTGGCAGGTGAGAATTCAGGCAGGTGAGAAGCCGGGGGACACAGGTGAGGCAGCATCACCAAAGGGGGAGGGCACTGGCCCCTCTGAAGCCACGGCTTCCCTCGTATGTGTAGAGCACAGCTACGCACACAGAAAAACAGGCTGTCTGTGGGACTACAATTCCATGTGTACGGAGAGCAATTGGGAAGAATGGTCTAAAAGGGCTCCTCAGGGTGGCAATAATAAAAAGAAAGCTGAAAAATCACCAGCTCACAGGGAGGGAAGGGTCAGAACACAGAGGAACTGGCACAATCGGAGGCATCTGAATGTATCTCAGTAGGAAACATAAAGGGTTTCTATTTGATGAAGGTGTGACGGGGGGTCCAGGTAGGCTGGGGCAGGAGGAGAAAGCCTGCCATGTGCTGACTGGCACCGTCTGCTGCTGACTGGCACCGGGTGCTGCTGACTGGCATGGGGGGAAGCGAGGCAGAGGAGGGAGAGGGATCTCGAAGGAATCAGCATAGCAGACGCAACACAGCTGGAAACATCAGTCCCAAACTGTGAAAGAAACAGTCACCAATTAAAAAGCTGAAAGGGGGTTTACGACTGCATCTGGAAAAAGTCCGGGTGCCAGGTAAGTGTTGGCAGCCGCCCACTCCTGAGCCCAGCTCCCGATAACCACTCCCCTGCAGGCCGGGGGTCCAGTGGGTGGTCCCTAAAGCCTGAGAGACTGTGGGTGTGTCCGGGTGGGCCTCTTCCTGGTGGGGATGATCTCTGGCAGGCTTAGCCTGTTTCCTGTCTCAGATTTGGGATGGTATGAGTCCCAACCATATAAAGGTTTGTGGTGGGGAATAAATAAGATCATAAATGTAATTCATTTACCTGGTGCTGATAACAAAGAAAGCGATCAATAAACATTAGCTGCTATTATCAATGTAAGTACTGGCCGATACTGGTAAGTTAGCTGGAGGGCAAGAGACAAACACCTTTCTAATGAGGCCATGACGGGCTGTGCATCCCTGAGATCGAAAGCTTTACTGAAACTCCCACATAGAAACGCATCCTTAAAGATAATCCGATAGGGACACAGTCCTTTTATTTTTATAGCATTTTATATACATTATTTTATTTAAACCTCCCCTTAAAAAGTATTAATTATGTAATTGGAAGGCATTAGCTAATTATTCATTTCACAGACGAGTCCACTGAAATCCACCCAAGGTCACCCCACCATCACACAGGCGAAATGAGCTGTGTGATGTCCTGACCTTGTGTCCTAGTATACAGCTAAGCAGACCACTGGAGTCAGCAGAATGTTAAATACTCAGTGAACTCATTAGAACAGCGTCTATGTAGAACTGGATAGAGGATGATTTGTCCGGGATGATCCATGAACCCTAACTGACGAGCGTCTAGGTCCTGCATGACCTTTAGTTTACTACGAGAGAAACGAGACTCACAGTTTTGTTCCCCGAAGAACTTCGTCACTATAGATGTTGGGGGTTTTGAGTCTCTGAGAATCTGACGCAAGAGAAGGCAGCCTCCAGGGCACGGGTGTCAGCTTTGCAGAAGGCGGTAATCCATGAGTGTCTGAGGCCCGTCCCAGTCTGTGCCGTGCGGAGGAGGGAGCACCTGCCCCTCCACCCGAGGCTTTGTCCTCCTTCTCATTCCTGGGAAGGAAATCCTGTGAGCTACTCAGCTGCAAGTGCTGGGATAACAGGGAACGCACCTGTCTGTGCTCAGCTGAGCACTGACTGTCTAGAACAGCCTGGCACCTAGAACACACTCCTAAGCACTGGCTGAATGAATGAAAAGACCCATCATTTCCATTTCTGTTTCAAAGAAGAATCATCCACAGGAAGAGAGCTAAGGTTTTCACTGTTAGTCATCAAACAGCCAAGCCCACAAGATTCAGAATTTCAGGACTACATTCCCCTTCCCCATCTCTCCCAACCAAATACACGATAGTAACTGTCGTGTGGTTGGTACTGAAGGGTCTGTTTCTGTGTTTCCAGACGTGCTCAGGCACATCTGAAGCCTGGGGTTCAGTGGGACCTTGGTGATCTCCTGCCCCCTGCAATTGTCAGTGCTCCCGTGTTTGCAGGCCAGGGAAGAGGCTGGGGAACCACCACTGATTCCGATACGTACTGCGTTCTGTCGGCGAAATAGGTAGGTCTCCGCTGAAGCGGTTTTGCGTGAATTGTCATGACGCCATTCATGTCACTATAAAAGCTGTTGGAGAAGCGATGAATCTGAGAACAGTAAAAAAAAAAAAAAAAAATTACAAACGCCCAGTGCCGTTCCAATGACTGATGCTTGTCCGAAATCAGCAGGAAACACACGGCACACTCACCAGCTCACTGGAGGGAAAACTAATAAAGCGGAGACAGTTTACAAAGATGTGGGCTGAGACATTAACCACGAACTGGTTAATTCCCCGACAGTAGGGACGTTCAGCACACCTGGCCAAAAGTGGCCAGAAGTGAGGGAGAGGTTCCTGCACCCAGAGAGGGTAGCTGCACGGGGTAGAAACGCCACCAGCCCAGGGTGACCTGGCAGGGAGGCAGCAGGGAGGCTGCAGGGAAGCAGAGCCGTGCTTCAGTCTCCCCCCAAGCTCTGAGATCCCAGAGGCTGGAGGGCAAGGAGCCCCGGTGTGGTCAACGTGTATCAGCCTCTGGTAACTCCAGGGTGAGGAAGGCAGAGAACTGGGAGCAGCACAGGCCGGGCATCATGGCTCCCGGCTAGCCTGCTTGCCCGGACCTCTCCTCTCCTCCCCTCCATACTTGCCTGGGTTCTCTTCCCAGAAGCAGTGAGATGGCCTGGGCCCTGGAAAGCTTCCGTCTGAATCCCAGCTCTGACTGCTTCCTGATTTGTAATTCTCGAAAGCTTACTTTGTTCTTAGAGCTTTAATGGCCTCATCTTTACATTGGGGAAAAATCATACGTACTTCACAGAGCTATTGTGAGAATTAGATGAGATGACAGAAAGCGTGAGCTAAGGGCTAAGTAATTCTCAACTCCCTCTTCAGTCCCACAACATGACCAACTAGGATTTAAAATCATTTACCTAGATGACAGCTTGGCAGGTGCAGCAAACCACCATGACACATGTATACCTGTGTAACAAACCTGCACATTCGGTGCATGTATCCCAGAACTTAAAGTAAAATTAAACATTTTTTTAAAGAATAATATTTAGATTCAGGAGAACAGGATTTCTGGGACTGGAATTCTGTTCTAGTTCATGAACAGATGTGGCCACCACAGTCATACGCAGAGGAATAACTTAAGAGGTTTCATAATTACCACTAGAACATCTTGAGTATTTCAAAACAGGCTCTATTTTTATTCTGTTAACTTTGCTGTCCATTTATTTTTTTTTAACACTTATCCAAACAGAGTAATTATAAAAACAAAACAGCTATTTTAAAAATGCCTCAGCTTCTAGAATTTCCGTATTTTCCACGTCTGTTTATTTTGCCTAATATTAAAAGGTTCATCCGCTGCTCTTTTTGTGATATTCATGCTATCTATTTTTTTAAAAGTGGGAAATACTGTATTGAGCTTGTCAGAGCCATTTAAAGAGACCAAAAAAATACAATAAGCAGGTAGCAATTCCGCAAGTTTCTTTAGAACAGAAAAGGCACAGAGGACTTCTTGTAAAGCCCTCACACGAGCGAGTGAAACAAACCTCTGAGGCGCTCTGTTCTCCCCACTGCCCCCTGAAGCACGGATGCTGTTCAGGCCTGTGTCCTTTCAGTCTCACAAAGACCGACGGTTCAGGTGCTCCTGTGCCAGGTGCACAGTTTTGCTTTTGCTTTGAAGAGCCTCCCTTCCTTTCTCATTTTAACAAATCACACCTATCATTTAGGGCTTGGTTCATATTTTACCCTACTCTGTGAAAAGTATATTTTTCCTCTGACTCCCAGAGCACTTAGGATCCAAAACACATCTAATTATAAAATATATATAATCTGATTACAAAATATTACATCTAATTTTAAAATTACACAAACATCTAATTAAGAAGGATTATATACACTATCAATATATAATTAGCATTTGATTATAATAAAAGGTAACACTTATTGAACACCCACTCTACACCACACACTAGACGAAATGTTTTCTCTCCCTTAATTCTCACAGCTTCCTACCTCATAAATCAGGAAACTGAGGTTTTGAGAAACAGGGACTGATTTAAAATCATGGAGTATTAAATAAAGACGTCAAGCTCAGAACTAGCAGTCTATATATGCAAGCTTCACTCTGCTGTCAGCTCGACTGCCTCCCGTGTGGGGAGGTGTGCGTGTGTGGTGTGGTGTGTGTGTGGTGTGTGGGTGTGTGTGTGTTGTGTGTGAAGGTGTGTGTGTATGTGTGGGGTGTGTGGGTGTGTGTGGGGGGTGTGTGTGGTGTGTGTAGGGGGGTGTACATGTGTGGTGTGTTGTGGGTTGTGTATGCATGTGGTGTATGTGTGTGGTGTGTGTATGGTGTGTATGTGGTATGTGTGCATCTATGGGGTGTGCATGGTGTGTGTGTGTGTGGTGTGTGTATCTGTGTGTATTTGGTATGTGTTTGTATAGTGTGTGGTGTGTGGTGTGTTTGTGTGGGGTGTGTGGGGTGTGTGGTGTGTGTGCAGTGTGTGTGAGTGGTGTGTGTGGTGTATGTGTGTAGTGTGTGTGTATGTGGTGTGTGGTGTGTGGTGTGTGTGGTGTATGGTGTGTGGTGTGTTTGTGTGGGGGGTGTGTGGTGGAATGTGTACAGTGTGTATGAGTGGTGTGTGGTGTGTGTGTGCATGGCTGTGTGTGGTGTGTATGTGGCATGTGTTTGGTGTGTGGTGTGTGTGTGTGGTATGTTTGTGTGGGGTGTGTGTGTGGGAATGTGTGCAGTGTGTGGTGTGTCTAGTGTGTGTATGTGAGTGGTGTGTGTGGTGTGTATGTGGTATGTGTTTGGTGTGTGCTGTACGGTGTGTGGTGTGTTTGTGAGGGGTGTGTGGGGCGGATATATGCAGTGTGTATGAGTGGTGTGTGTGGTGTGTCTAGTGTGTGTGAATGGTGTGTGTGAGTGGTGTGTCTAGTGTGTGTGTGACTGGTGTGGTGTGTGTGGTGTGTCTAGTGTGTTTGTGGTGTGGTGTGAGTGGTGTGTGTGTGGTGTGTCTAGTGTGTGTGTGGTGTGGTGTGTATGGTGTGTCTAGTGTGTGTGCGTGGTGTGTGTGGTGTGTGGTGTGTCTAGTGTGTGTGGTGTGGTGTGTGTGTGGTGTGTGGTGTGTCCAGTGTGTGGGTATGGTGTGTGTGATGTGTCTCGTGTGTGGGTGTGGTGTGTGTGAGTGGTGTGGTGTGTATGGCATGTCTAGTGTGTGTGTGAG